TTTTTATTTTTCGCTGCCTTTTATTTTATTGTTTAACTTATGGTTAAAAAATAATTTCTACAAAATTCATTAAAGTACATTTTTGGTATAAAATTTAAAAAGAGGGTAAATTTTTATTTACCAATTCACCCACCCCCCCCCTCTTGGTTAGCCGTTGGGACATAGGCTTATGTTTAACACCTAATTCATATTAAACAAGTTTTAACAGAACTTGTTGTATCAGCAAGTTCGTTATCCTAGCATGACTGCAGATGTCCTCTTGACTGAGGAGGATAAATCTTTGCTTGAAGATTTTAGAGTTGAACATCTTCAGCCAATGGTGGAGCTCGACGGAGAAGAACCTCCTCCCACAGTGATAATACTGGCTGTCGAGACTCTCGTAGGAGTTGAAGGATCTCGTTTTGAGATTCTTCCATTTTTCTGGATTCTCTCTTCTAAGGAGGGTCTCGAGGTTCCTTCTCCAGCGGCATTTTTTCCCCTATGGTAGAAAGAGGCAGATATTGGATGTCTATGATTCATAGACTGATTTCTAGACAGATGGGAGTTGGAGCGAGAAGCTCCAACGATACGACTGCTATGTTTATTGACCATCGTAACAATACTTAAAGTTGTGGGATAATGTTTCCCACATATGATGACAAACTTTTGCGGTCTAGAATATACGCGATGATAGATTTAGAAAATTTCTATCCCAGCGTTGTACGCATATCTAGCGCATAAAAAGGAGAGAAAATAACACCAATATTTTTACGTGGAAAACCCAAAAGGGTAAAAACCATGGGGCCACACCCAGTTGAAGGAGTTCCACTAGTGTTTGCTTGAAGTATAAGAGGCTAACTCATTCTTAAAATTTAGGACGATCAAATTACAATGTATTACTTATTGATTAAAAATTAGTTACTACGGGCAGAGTTCTGGCGTCACTTGAAGATAGGGTAAAATTCTGATGTCACTCGAACGTTAGGTAGAATTTTAGTATTACTTGAGTGTCAAATAGAATTGCTACATCACTCGGGCGTCCGGCATAATTCTGGCACCACTCGGGTGTCGAGAAGAACTCAAGCGGTGGTCTAGGAGGAGTTATTCCCTCCTATCCTTCTCTTCTCTTCTTCTTCTCTTCTTCTTCTCTTCCTCTTGCTTGGGTCCCCTCTCATGAGAAATGAGGGGTCTATTTATAGATATTTTGAAGTGGCATGGCTTGTAAATAGGTAAGAGATCAAGGGTAATAAAAAGTTGTCGAATGGATAGCCGATATTGAACTGCTTGATCGTGCACTATTCGTTAGACATTTGAAAGTCTTAATGATGTTGGAATTCAATAATCTTAGGCTCATTGGATTTGTCACGTCGAGCCACTCGAATTGATTATAAGCACATTATATTTGGAAACCATTTTGTAACTCAAATTACCGTTTGAACTTTTAACAGCGCTTTGGGTCCTTGATTTGGACTCACTTGGGCTCGGATTGAGTCAAATTTGGTGTCGTTGGGTTCATATTTCCGAGATGCTCAGTTTGACTATAAGTTTACTGAAATCAGAGTTCAGATGATCCCAGATTTAATTTATGAAGTTTCCCGCTTGATTTTGCCTCGAGATTTGTGCCCGATCAGGATAGCTTTTTATGATATATCAGTTACCCCCTATTTTCGGACGTCGAATCTCCAAGAGTCTGAAAATACACGTCACAAACTTTGGAGAATTTTCCACGTGATTTGAAATCTGGTATTGCATGTAGGAGCCTCAAATGACTTTAATTGCTGAAATTGAGTCTGAAACGTCGAAAAATTGTCCATGTGACCCCAAAATGTTCGATTTGGCCTTTTCGGGGTGAAAATTGGACCTAGAATTGAGTGGGCAGCCGAACGCACTCCATTGAGCAACTTCATTTAAAGCTTTTTCATTTTCTTTTTCTAAATCTTTTTATGTTGTCCGTTTATGCCTCACCTTTTTTTTTTTTGGTGGGGGAGGGGGATGAAATAATATTTAAGGATCTTAGATAATTTTTTTTACATTTAAAATTTTTTCGCACATAAAATTAACATGCAAATCATTTTCAATTTTTCATAGATTTATTCTCTAAATCTAATACAAATTGAAAGCAATTTATATGCATGTTTTAATTTCAAATATCCATTTTGTATTATTAAAAAAGTATTATTTTAAATCAATAAGTAAAATAATTTCTAAGTAAAATATTACTCATATAAAGAAAGATATAAATATATTTATAGCTAGTGAGTAAATTTTACATTTCATTTGTAAGTTTTGAGGTGATTAATAACATATTGAAACATCAACTCAAATATTTTGATCATTTTATTATTAAATAATTTAAGCTTATAATGTCTACAATAAATTTTATTTTAATGTTGTCATGGGCGGAACCCCATTGGGGTCAGGGGGGCAATTACCCCA